TTTCCTGATAGCTGGACATTATTGCTGTTGAAAATTATTTTTAGTAAAAGGTGACAAGAGGTGATGCAAGTTGGTCAGCATATTTCTTATGTAGGGGCATAGGTTGTCAAATCCAAATGCTTTTTTAAATTCAGTCCTGAGGAGATTTTGACACCATGAGCACGTATGACCAGTGTGTGTTTAGTCTCTTATTTGTTAGTGATGGAAGTTGAGGAGGGGAGCCGTGAGGTTCATAAACTTGCATCTTCTGAGGGAAAAAGTAGACAAGTAATTGAGCTGTCACTGTTTAACTAAGCTCCTCCAGTCGTTACTTCCGACTAAACGGTTAGTAAGTTTGCAATGAGACTTAATCTCCATTGCTCGATGACTCATTTCTGAATCTGTTTCATTCATTTGCAGGCACATTTGTGGTTCAACTTGTTTTGAGTAGATGGATTATTATTTTTTTAAATTCCAATCTCTGATTTATTTATTCGCATGTGAAGCCAGACCAAGGCTAATTTCCTGCGCCTAATGCTCTCTCTCTCTCTCTCTCTCTCTCTCTCTCTCTCTCTCTCTCTCTCTCTCTCTCTCTCTCTCTCTCTCTCTCTCTCTCTCTCTCTCTCTCGCTCTTCTTGAAATATGATTAAATTTATTATTTTTCTTTTTTATATGTTTGTATTTGCGTGCTAGTATATATCTTTGTATACGGTTACCTATATGTGTCTTATTTGCCTCCTATTCCAATACTTCTTCAACTAGTCATCTCCCTTTCTTCAGGCCGAGATTCACCCCGAAGGACACTGCATCTGGTACGGACTGGGTGACAAAAATCCCGAAAAATACGACTCTTACCTTAACTCCGCCTACGATGGTCCTGCTAAGAAGCTTACTGATGCCATGGCCGTCGATTTGTTGAGTAAACATTGCCCAGAGATGGTGGAGGAAATTCGTAAGTGTTGGGAAGGGAGATGGAGTTAGAGAGAGGGAAATGGCATTAGAAAAGACTTATAGGTAGATGGATGAAGTGAGAGAGAGATAGAAAGAAAGAGGGAGAGATGGGGGAGAAAGATAAAAAAGAAACAGAGAGAGAAAGAGAGGGAGAGAGAGACTGGGAGAGACAGAGTGACGAACGAAAGAGAGAGAGAGGAAGAAAGATGAAAAAAGAGAGAGAGAGAGAGAGAGAGAGAGAGAGAGAGAGAGAGAGAGAGAGAGAGAGAGAGCAGAGAATATAAGAAAATTAAAGATGGAACAGAATAAAAGCGAAAATTTTGAATCACCAAACACCGTATATTCTTTTTTTTCTCTCCCAGTTACGCGAGAAGTATGACTCCAGTGCTATTATTGACATGGAAGTTAATACCATTATCATAAGGGGGATAATGCCATCCTCATTAATTACTATCATCCTTTAGTATCTTTTCTAACCCCCATCCCCTTCCCCCTGCCCTCCCCCTAGGCCTCCCCGACGGCACCATCGAGACCTGCTGTGACCCGGAGAACATCATGTCCCTGGTCGGCACCCTTTCCCCCCTGGAAAGCTTCCTGACGACCTGTCCCGCCTGCAGCTCCAACCTCAGGAAGAACTTCTGCTATTCTGCTTGCCACCCCAAGCAGTCGAGCTTCCTTCGGCCCACCAGGCTTTGTGAGAGTAAGCAGAAGAAGCGGGTTTAATTGTGATCTTTTGTGAGTCATTTGAGTAGAAATTGGAAAAGGAAAAGGAAGGAAACATTTTTTTTTCTCGGTTTACTGTTTGATAGATTTATGTCATTTGTTTATTTTTTTCTTTATATATATATATATATATATATATATATATATATATATATATATATATATATATATATATATATATATATATAATAGTTACATTTTCTCTTCGTCTACTGATACATAAATTTCTCTTTTCTTTCACTTCTCTCTCTCCTTATTCCTATTCTTTCTTCCCACTTCCCCACTTCTCCTCTTCCTTTTCCTACCCTCATTCCTTTCCCTTCAAACTGTCTCCCTTCTTTTTCTGCCATTTGCCCTTCCCCTCTCTTTCCTGTGATCTTACCCCTCTTCCTCCCTCTCTTTCCCCTCTTCTATTCCCCTTTTGCACTCTCTTCCCTCTTCTTTTTCTACTCCTGTCTCCTCTGCCCTATCTCTACCCCCTCCCTCCTCACTCCCCTTCCCACCCCCCTCCTTTGCTCTGCCTCTACCCCTTCCCTTCTCCCTCCCCCCCTCCCTTCTCCCCCCCTCCCATCCCCCATTCCCTCCCACCCACCCCTCCCTTCTCCCTCCCCCTTCCATCCCCCTTCTCCCACCCCCTCCCACCCCCACACTTCCCCCCTCCCCTTCCCATCCCTCACCTCCTCCCACCCACCCCCCTCCTCTGCCCTGCCTCCATCCCCTTCCCTTCTGCCTCCCCCTCCCACCCCTCCCTTCTCCCTCCCCCCCAACCCAGCCGAGAGCCACACCTCCATCTTCTCCATCGACTTCCTCGTGCATGAGAGCTACACCCACAGCGCCTTCGCCTCCT